TGGCAATAAAGCTCTCTCGTATGATCTCATCCAAAGCCAATTTAATTAGTTAAAGTAACTAACTGTTGTTTATTCATTATATATACAGTAAAAATTTCGTTATTTCGTTGGTTAGACTAACTGGACACTTTGAGATTTTTCTTTTTTTTTTTTCATCGCTTTGTTTTTGATATTTACTCAGCTTAAACAGCTCTTGAGTGTTAAGTTATAAATTATTGAATGAATATGAATTTTTTTTTTTTTTTTTTATGGGTTCATGAAAAGTGATGAAAACGAAGGCAGGGGAGGGGGGAGCAAAAAAGAAAAAGAAGAAAAAAAGCTAAACATATTGATTATACGAAAAAATGTATTATATATGTGAGTCTATTTAAATGCCTTATGAGTTACGAGGTCTCGCTAGTGCAAATATTGTCTTTACGGTATAAACTATTATTAGTTAACCTTTCACTTTTACTATATAATTCTACTATGAATTGCGGCATGCGGCGAGTGCGAGAGTGCAAGAGTGCCGCTTAAACATTGGCACGAACGATTAATAAAGTTATGTTTAGAAACTTTAGTTTGTAAAGATATATATATATTTTTTTTTTTAACGCGAAAACTTTATCAAGAACTTGTTTTAAATTAATGCTTAATGCTTATATAAGATTTTACTGTGAAACATTAAACTAGTAACTAGTAATGCTAGCATTAAATCTAGAAATGTCAAGATTGCTTGAGAGTGGGTGATAAAGGTTTTTCTAGTTTTTTTTTGCTAATTTTTTTTTAAATTTTTTTTTCTTACACTATTTAGGAGCGGCGGTACAGGTTTACAATTAAACGGATTTGTTATGGTTTTTCGCGTTCACATTTTTTTAGTACACATTCCTTTAAATTAAAGCATATTTGTATTTTTATTTATTATTTCCTTTGACATTCATTCATATTAAGAAATATTTTTGAAAAAAAAAAAAACAAAAAAAAAAAAAAACATTAAAAAATATTGAGCTTAATAATAAAGTTGTTGTTGTGTTCTTTAATAACATAGAAATGCGCATACATTTTAAACTCCTGAAAGTTTAAATTTTTTCTTTAATTACATAATTCATGGCTTTGAAGGTTTTAGTTCCATTCCAGCGTTTTTAAGAAGCGCGGTTTGTGTCGGGAACACAAATTATATTTCCTTATACATTTATTTACCGTAATTGTAATGGTAATGTATGTAAAGGGCGCACCCCCTCTTTTTTTTTTTTGGTTGTTGTTGTATTTATACCTACCTTTGTACGCACATGTAAATGCAAATTTTTATTACCTATCTGAATATAATCCATTGAACGATTTTGAATTGCTGCTCTGATATTTTTCTTTTGATTTTTATTTATTATTTATTTTCAAATTTAATATATGCGCATATTTTTATACGCCGCAAAGCATTCTTTTAGCGCCTATATAGAAATATTAGCACTATTTGTGCTTGAATTAGTTTATTTGTAATATTGTGTTCCCCTAAAATTGTAATATTATAATGTCTTAGTTATTCAAGAATGTTTGTGTCGCAAATAAGTGTTAATTACATTTCGTTTCGCCTTTGGGGTGAATAATAACCTTGCTCTATCGTATGCATTCTTTAATAGCTGCAGCTGCATTCTTCAAAGATTCATTAAAAGAATATTTATAAAATTATTTATACATCAGAGCGAAGTATTCGTCATACGTATTACTAAGGAATGGTGTGTCATATGGTAGTAATGTCAAATTTAACATTTAACAAAATAAACCATTCATTTTGAAAGTTGCTTAACTTTATTTCTTCATACCCAAGATATGTTTGCGACTCTTAAGAATTTTAATGCAAGGATTGCTTACAATGCCTATATATTACTTAATCAGTTTAGTTTGCCGATTAATATTTTATCGATCATCATTGACTTTAATTGATTTTCACTTTCTTCCTTACAAAGATGCACAAATGCATGCAAGAGCTTTCATTAAATTCACTTTTATTTTCTGAATATTTTCAATTAATCGTTTCAATTTAAATAGTTGGAGGCAAAGAAAGAATCTTCTTTTCTTTAACTTTAATAAAAAACCTATCAAAAACTAAAAGTCAACTTCGTTTCTCTTCTCCAAGAACAATTAACTTCAATAGTCACTCCTTTATGATATAAAATTTTGTTTTTTGAATAATGATTGTTCAGAATATCTGAAGAGATCGTATATAAATAGTTCTGTCAAATCGATTTTTAATAGCCATCTCTACTTAGGGCAAAATATCTTGGGGTATAATAAATTTCATTCAATCATTTTGAAAATTTTCGATTTATACGACGGTTGTAAGGTGCACTGTTATTATTATTATTTATAGAGGTTAAAGGAATAGATATTGGGATTAAAGCAGGACGAGCACAAGAAACTAACACTATCAGCTCTACTTTTGAAAAAAAAGATAGATTAAATGTTTAATCTAACTATTTTAATAAAGTTGAATATTTTACCATTAAGTTAAATAATTTTTTTAAGTTCTCCAGGTATGCTCAAGTTGTCGATAGAATTAGAGAATCTACGCATATTAAAAAGGTATTGGCATTTCCAAAGCATCTAAGTAATCGTAAGCAGTAGATTTCTTAAGAATATCTTAGCATACAATCTGATAAAATTTTTATACCATCATTATAGCATTCATGAGTAGATACTTCGAGGTGGTTTTAGTTTTATCGCTATTGTTTCTTAATCAATAAAGAAATTCTGGGGTTAAATTTCAGTTAGAGGATCAAAATAATCCTTGTTGTTAGAAATAGAATACTTATCTCAAATCTCGTTAATTTTAGAGCTAAACGTTCTTTTTAAATTGTTGGAAATGTGGCATAAACTTCATTTTTTTTCCCCCAATAGACAGAAGACACCTTTTTAATACAGCTTCACGCAATTTTCGCATTTTTAGAAGTTCGCTTTCAGATGGCACTGTTCAAGGCTTCTGAGATGCAATATCTTCGAATTCCTTATTACGTTATTTTGCTTAACATTTTATCGGTATAATCTTGATTTCTTTGAAATTAAGGAAAATGCTACAGTTCTGTTGGTAACGCATTCATTAATATTATATACAATCTAAAAAAAAACATCAGGTATAAAATTATTGATATTCTG